ATATATATATATATACATTTATATGTAATCATATTTAAATATTTCTAATTATTTTATTTATTATGTTTGTTATAATTTGCTTAAGTTTATATTTTATCATTATATTACCGTTATTCTAGTTTTATAGTTCTTTCAGTAATTTTATTTTGTTCTGTATTCGTTGCATGTATCATCTATCTACACTGTGTCTTGTCTTATGTTTAATTTCCTTTTCCTGTCGCAGGTCTGCAGGAAGAAATCCCTTAAGGGATATGCAGTACCTATGTACCTCATGTTTATAATGTGTTGTCCTGTGTAATATTGTCTGTGTGGTGTAGGTACATAAAATGATAAATAAATAAATAAAATATTATCTAAGAATTTTCCGAAAATTGTACGGGAACGGAAAGTGTGCGTTACCCAGGCCAGATGTTGTCGAAATGGTCATTTGAATCTTATAGATAATTAGTTTAGAACTGAAATTTTACTGATAACTAACTGAACTAAACAACTAATTATTGACATAACATTCAGTTCAAATATCCAATCCAGTGGCCAAATAACACCGCGCGCATTAAGACTGTGCTCGTGAAGAACTCAATATCATCATAACTTGTTCAATACTTACAGGATACTAATGAAACTTCACATACATTTGAAGGCAGTTACAAGCTTTTAAATAACGTTTAAAGTAAGTCTTTAGATCTCTTATTGAGAGTGCTGGGACCAATTTAAGTGTTTTTCTATTTAATTAAATAACTTTTAAGCTATTTATTATTTTGGTTTTTTTATGGCACAACAAATTCGAACTAAGAAGAAGCCATGTACCAAATATGATAAGAATCCGTTTAACCATTTCAAAGATCTAGCAAAATCAAAAACGAAAATCGTATGGTGAATATAAAAAACTAGTTTAATTAAATTTTTTATTAATTTTTCTTAATAATATCAAAAATTAACAGCCAACATTTGTAAAAACACCTCTTGCAACAAATACTTATGTATTGCCATAACAAATAATAAAAAATAAAACAATATCTATAAATTACTGTCCAAGTTCCCAGCGAATTGCCATCTGGACTCATCATTGACAGTCACAGAATTAATTTTATGTTCTTTTGTCAGTTTTTTTAAATGGTGGCTGACATTATATGCTGCCGCTGGCCATAGATGTTCTGGAGTATCCTTATAAATCATTTTAACTAAATCCATTTCGTTCAGCGCCTTATCCTGATGTTTCTTTAGTGCTTCTAATATTTGCTTTTCTCTTTCATTTCTGTGTTGTATGTAGTATTCTATTTTTGTGATTGGGTCCTGTAAGAGAGATTATGTTATAGATTTGTAGTTTAACCCATAAATTACCAAGCGGTCACCGGTGACCGCTTTCCACTAATATTACATTACATTATAGACCTTATTTGTAATGTTTAGAGACTACTTTTGTATGACCAAATTTAGGGGGTGGATTTCAACGGGTTAATGTATTGCATTGTTGATATGTAATGTAGTTATAGACTTAACGCTATATAACTCAAATATTCCAAGAATACATTTATTCTTGCCATTTTGTAGAAAATTTATAAACATCACCAGGTCAGATGGTGGCCCAACGCCATCCTATTTACATTAAAAATAAAATATCAACGAAGATTACGCTAGTTTTTTAGATATTAATGTCTTACTGTACTGTACTTATGATTGAATTAATAGTTATTTTTATAACCAGTGCTAACATAATTGTGTAACTAATGACTATTTCCTTGAACTCTGAATAATTATTTATGTTGACATTCTACAGAAAAATTACTTGCAAGACAATGTGTGGTGTTAAAATTACTTTATAGACTTATTTATCGCATTAATGCAGAAATTTATAATACATCAACTATTCATGACAATCCACTGCTGGCCTTAAGACCTCCTCTGCCTAAGAAGAGTCCATTGCTTTGTCTATAGGCCTTTTCTACCTAAGAAGACTCTTATCCCTAACCCTAGCAGGATAGGATATTAACAAATTACCACAGTTAAAAGGTTTTTAACACTTACATCAACAACATTCCCATGTCCTGGATAAATAACACCAGGTGCCAAGTTAAGTATTTTCTTCAAACTTATCATATAGCTGTACAGGTCTTCGAACACAGCAGTGCCTTCACCAAGGATACAATCTCCGCTGAACAGGATATTCTCCTCCAGCAGTGTAAGTACCACATGATCAGTAGTATGACCTGGTGTGTGATGGACCTTTAAAGTGGCCCCTTCAACCTTCAACTCCTGGCCATCTACTAACCAGTTCATAGGTATGACAGGTGGTATGTGATCTTTTTCATCATCTTGACTCCTTGGATGCTTCCATATTTTTGGTTCAGCTGCAAATTCAACATTAAGTTGGTAAAATGCTAATGATTTTTAGATTCTAACAAGGTACAGTATGGTGGTCTCAACTTTACAATACTACCATTTTGGTGATTATAAACTGTAGTGGTGCAAAAAAATTAAAAAAATACTTTTGAAATTTAATAAAATTATTAGTAACCAGTGTTCATCGTTTTAGTATTAGATAGCAGAAATAGTTATGTTTTTACAGTTTTTCCAACACACTAAGTACTTAGAAATGTATTGTATAGGTACTTACTAGCAATTTTGCCATAAATATTTTCAACTCCTCCGATATGATCATGATGCCAGTGGGTCACAATAATATGCTCTATATTGACCTGCTCTTGGTTTACCACCTGTGCCAAGTGCTTCTGGTAATCTTGTACATTTTTATCACCAGTATCTACCAGAATTCGACTGAAAACAAGACAATGAACCTCGTTGTTTAATATAAAAAAATAGATGAAAGATCATAATTTATCTGTGGCGTACTTTATTCATTAGTGACTTAATTAAAAGTTAATACTCACTTTTTACCAGTGCCTATTAAGTATGTATTAGTGCCTTGAAGAGTCATAGGGCCTGGATTACATCCTAGAATTCTAATAACACTATTAGTAAGTTTAGTTACGGCTGGGATAGTTGGACCCATGTCTGCTCAAGGTTTTAAAAATTGTAAAGTAATGATGACTGAGATAATAGGGATTAACGACACAATTGACACAGACAAATAATTATTTTTTAACTTGTTTTTGTAATATAATTATCGGTCAAAGGCTATGTTAATGTTTAATACACAATACCGATGTTAAATATTAATGAGTAACAATAAACTTATGAACATTTTTACATAATTTAAAAAATCTAAACTGGCTGTTTATCAATGGACTTTGACACTTGACAGTTGACAATGTTGACAAGTGATAATGGATAAAAATGTTAGCACGGTGGAAGTGGAACGATGTTTCATCGTTCCAAAACATCTTTAAAAACATTATTATAAGTATATCTCTTATTACATTGATAAAAGCTTTAAATCATTTTAGTTATGTTATAAAATAATAAATTAAACGACTAGTGTTATGTCATAATTTTTTGCAGATTTCTAGAGTAATTTTAGTTCACATATTCTGAGTAAATGGGAATGTTGTCTTTTGTGCTGCCACTTTATAACTAATTCCCCTTGATTAGGAAGTATTAGATGTATAATTTAGTACTTTTGCTCATAATAGCGATCAAATGCTTAATTTAAGTAAAACAAATGTCTACCTTCATTATTTCGCGTTAACAGCATATCAGTTTTTAATCTTTTAAAAAACTTTACGTTATATTTTTTGTTTTGCTGGAGCAAAATTGAAAGGCAGACTTGACTCTTCCATCTGACAACAATTTTTGTTTGAATTTTGGTATTGTCAGTATTGTCACATTTGACATTTTCTGAAAAAATGGCTGGTGTGCTGGCGAGAGTAATTCAGAGGACTAAGCCACAATTGGGTACATAATTAATAACAGAATAGCTTTAGAAGAATCTTATATATGCCACACAAAGTTATATGAACATGGGATGGCTGTAGAACTACTCAAGTAAATGTTGTTGTTACAATGCGCAGTGTGTGACTTACATAATTTTTGCGTTTCTTTTTAGGCATTATTGGCCCTTTGGTGAGCATCGGTAATAGTAATGTTGCTGTTGTACGCTTCCAAAGCGCCGACGCTGCTCCTCAGGGCAAGCAATGTGGTGCACCAATTTCTGACAGCGACAGAATCTTTACGAACTTGTACGGGCGTCATGACTGGAGGTTGAAGGCAGCTATGTCTCGCGGAGACTGGTACATGACCAAGGAAATATTGCTGAAGGGCAACGCTTGGATTGTCAGTGAGTATCAGCTGATTACAATAATATGCAGATCTTTTAATATATGTCAAATTCTGAATGTATTTGGTGGAAGCTCTATTACAATTGTAAGTCTATTGGTTCAAATTGACCCAATAAACAGAAACTAAGCTTTTCTTATTTATACAAATTGTCAATGACTGATATTAAGACTCTAGATCTACTAGTGTGTTTGATATCATCATTTAAAATTAAAATGAAGTCTATTAATCGTAACCTCCAATAAAAATTGTCCCTATTTCATGTAAACATGTTAAAATTTTTAAAAATGAACGATGAACACAATAATGACTACTATAGCTTGTCAAGAAACATTTATTACTTAGGTAGTTTAAATATAAAGAACTCAATCTGGAGTTAATGGTATCAAACAAGCAAATAGACGTTGCTCAAAAACAATTCAACATGGCTGATGCTAATTGCATTTAGCTAATAATGTTTTTTAAACTCGCTAATGGAAAGGTAATTATTTGTGACTGTTACACAACATTTAATAATTAATTCAATTAAGTAAATCAACAGTAAAAAACATTTTTATAATAACCATTGTAAGACATACTAAATTAACTAAAATCACGGTATATTCATGTGAGTGACCACTCACATGAATATACTGAGAAAAGCTCTACTAGTTTCGAACCACAGAGAGGTTCTTCATTATGAGCAGTGTGCGTGGTTGTGGCCATAGCGATATGTCGTGCAGCTCACTGGTGAGCTCAGTGAGCTGTGTGACATCTCTATATTCACGTGAGTACCCCGCGTAGTTAATTTAGTAAAACATTGTTATTTAGATAATAATGGACCTAATTAGGATATACAAATTAACAAGAAATTAAAATACTAACAGTGATCTCGCATGAAGAGATTAAAAGAAGTCCCTATGCCTTATGTAATTGTCTCAATATACACTGCACTTTTGTTCCAGAAGAATGCTCACTCTAGAATAAGCGTAACTTAATTAGGAATTACTTTCCTTAACATGTTAACCGCCATGTAGGTCACCTGTGACTTACATTAGTGGAAGATTTGCCTTCAATATTACATTACAAACATTACTGGGTTTTTAAAAAAATCTCAGTAGTAGCACGGAGTCTTGAATTGTGCCCGGTATATGGCAATAGGCTCACCTCCTATTACATGGGACTCATAACATAAATAGTGAAAAGTGGGTGTAACTTCTGTGTGCATTTCTGCCTACCCCTTTGGGGATAAAAGGCGTGATTTTATGTAATGTTTATGTTGCCTTCAACAGTTTTCGTCGGCAGTCAAAGGCTTAATCAAAACCAATTTTTTTCGCCTATTCCATACAATAAAACATTAAAAATAATCACACTCATTAATTGATTTTATGAGCAATTAAATTTTAGTATTTTTCTAGCAAATTTTTAAGAAATAATTATGCTGTTTGATGAAAAAAAAATGTGACGTCACAATACACAATCTCATTCAAAATTCATATTAAACTGTCATTTTTTGACAGTTTGTAAAAAGTATTGAATTTGACTAGTTAGTTTAGTTATACAATTTCAGATTCTTACATTAATAACATACACGCCTATTGACACAAAAACCTATAATTCCAGATGAGCTCAAGGTGTCAGGTCTCCGTGGTCGTGGTGGCGCCGGTTTCCCCACTGGTATGAAGTGGTCTTTCATGCAGAAGCCTTCGGATGGTCGTCCTAAGTACCTTGTAGTAAACGCTGATGAGGGAGAACCTGGTACTTGCAAGGACAGGGAGATTATGAGGCATGATCCTCATAAGCTGGTGGAAGGTTGCCTGATCGCTGGCAGGGCTATCGGAGCCATTGCTGCTTACATCTACATCAGAGGAGAGTTCTACAATGAAGCCAGTAATCTCCAAGTTGCTATTGCTGAGGTGAGCTAAAAAGTTTTTTTTTCAACACTTGTATTACTTACTTCTTTCATTAGATGATTAAAAGTTCACTACCTACTACCAGGGCCCTCTTAGACTACGCTGCGGCCCTTGGACTTAAAGATTCGGCACCCCTTTCCAATGTTTCTTTTTTGTTTTGCGTTTAAAGTAATCGAAAAAAAACGAGACCGCGTTCGACACTCTGATTGGCTGGTTCATTGGAGCCGGCCAATCAGAACGCCGATCGCGGTCTTATCTGTATTAAGCCCTCTGATCATACAATACAGTTTATTTTTACCTGCTTGAATGCACCGATTTAAGACACAATAGAAAATACATACGTTAAGACACGCGAAAGGTTAAATACCCTCCTACTTATGCGGGAGTAAGATAAAGACCAAGTAGTGTTTTTCATAAACTTATGTAAGAAACTTTACTTTGTCTGGAAGTATCTTTTTTGACGCCATGGTTGACGCGGTGGGCAACCGGCTACCGTGCAGTGTGGCGCGGGTTGGATTCCCGGACGGAACTACACTTTGTGTGATCCATATAGATTGTTGTTTCGGGTCTGGGTGTCATGTGTATGTGATTTTATGTTTGTAAACGCACCCACGACACAGGAGAAAAACCTAGTGTGAGGTAAGGCTGTTTAAAAAAAAATCTTAAGGGTTGAGATTAATTTGTGTTCAATATACATAACATCAGGTCTTTTTATCCCCGAAGGGGTAGGCAGAGGTGCACACAGAAGTAACACCCACTTTTCATTATTTATGTTATGAGTCCCATGTAATAGGGGGTGAGCATATTGCCATATACCAGGCACATTTCCGGACTCCGTGCTACTACTGAGATTTTTTTTTTAAAAAACCAGTAATACTTGTTCAATACCTCATCTGAAATTAAATGTAAACCATGTTCATTCCAGGCCTACCAAGCAGGTTTGATTGGTAAGAACGCGTGCGGTTCTGGCTACGACTTCGACGTGTTTGTGCACCGTGGCGCTGGAGCCTACATCTGTGGCGAGGAGACTGCACTCATCGAGTCTATCGAAGGCAAGCAGGGCAAGCCACGTCTAAAGCCTCCATTCCCCGCTGACATCGGTCTGTTCGGATGTCCCACTACTGTCAACAATGTTGAGACTATTTCCGTGGCACCTGTAAGTATTTCAAGATATCTTTGTTTTTGATGTAAGATTATATTCATCCTCTTTTATGTAGAATGTTACTAAACAAAATTTCTTGTTTATACTATTCCTACTTTGTAAATATAGATTTTGTTTTTATTCAACTTTGAAGTCTGTGTGTATTGTAAATTATTTGGGGAAAATGAAGTATGGACTGTTTATCGCCGTAAAATAATTACTATAAGATTTTATACAAAACATAGTTAGGTACTTTTACCTCTAAAACAAAGACTTAAATATATCATACAAGACAGTACAAATAAAACCCTAACTTTCCAGACAATTTGCCGTCGTGGTGGAGCTTGGTTCGCATCATTCGGCCGTCTCCGTAACCACGGTACCAAGCTGTACAACATCTCCGGTCACGTGAACACTCCCTGCACCGTCGAGGAGGAGATGAGCATTCCTCTCAAGGAGCTCATCGAAAGACACGCTGGTGGCGTCATCGGAGGCTGGGACAACTTGCTGGCCATCATCCCTGGTGGTTCATCTACACCTCTTATTCCTAAAAGGTAAGTGCCACCTTCAGCTTTTTTTAAGATATATTTTCCATTATAATTTTTTTGTGAGAATAGGGATGATGACAGGGTATGAAAATTAAAAATCTAATTAGTCCGACAGTTAGATAATGAAAAAATATTAGACACGTATCTTTTTATTATGTTGTATAATAAAATGATACTTAGATAAAACGAATCAAAGTTTAGGAGTGGCAGCTAAAACGTTATTTCTACGTACAAAATGTAGGTACGTAGAAGTGACGTCACGCGACATTTCAAATCAATATATTATCGTCGAAAGTATTCGTTTCTGTAAAAAAATAAAAAATACGTGTGTAACGTTTTCAAATAATCTACCAGACGGACATTAAAATAAAAATTACTCATCTACCCTATTGTAGCAAATGGCGTTTCATAGTCTCTGACTATCGCGTTGGGAGATAGGCGTGAGGTTATGTATGTGTTTTTTCCATTGTAAATGGTAATGTTTTTTTGTATTTGATTCAACAAAAATGAGAAGGCAGCTGAAAAAGCGATACGTTATGTATCTGTTCATAGTTTGAACAATCTGTGCGTTCCATGAATTTAATCTGAGATCTCATATTTTTTTTTTTATTGTCCTCGCAACAACTCTGGCTCCTAAACGAGTCAGAATATCAGTAACATACATAATAGTGAAAAAGGTGTGCCTTAGAGCGCCAGCTTCAGTGATCCTTATTTATTATTATTTATTTATATGAATAGAATGGTACAAAAACTAGTTAGACTTTTCAATATTATAAAGATCATATTATAATATCAGAGTCATCGCGCGTGCGCTGTCAATAGCGGTCGCCGATTTTGTCTTACGACAATGTCCGTAAATAAAGTAAAGTGTACAAGTTGCAATCTTGTTATATCGGAAGTCCTTGCTTTCATACGAGATCGGCACCATGTAGTCGATAATGAAAGTTTAATTAGGATATGTGGAACTGCATTTTCTGAAGAGGAAATAGATGAGGCGAAGAAGTTGTTGTTTATATCTACGAAAACAACAAAAAAACTGGTCTCGAGGCGCAAGATGAAGAAAGAAAAAGATTTAGAAGATATAATAACTGTGTTTAAAACAATAGACCCTGATCATTTACCAGTTTTTGTGGCATACGACCTACACAAACTGCCACCAGTTTGTTTTGATCACGTCGATGTCACAAAATTATTGAAGGATATTTTGATATTACGTAAAGAAATTGAAGACATAAAGTGCAATTATGTGACAAATACTCAATTAGAGGAAGTGAAGCAAAACATGAATTTGGAAAAATCGAGTCCGTTAACTAATTCAAATGTTAACATGAGAAAACGAGGCGGTGGGTATACGATAAATTGTGATAGCGGACCGTTCGGCCTCCTACCTCACATCGAACCGCGGCCGGTAAACGATGTCAATATATCGCGTTCCAGTCATGGGGAGGTGAGTCACGACAGCGAAGTGCCGTCGCCGCCAGCGCCGATATATCGCTCTCTCGTGCACGCGCATACCGATAGTGCTGCGCAGACTACACCCGTCTCTCTTGCTGTTAACTCGACTATGCTCGAGAACGACAGCGTGCTAGCCAGGAATGACGCATGTAAACAACAGACTCTGGCAGATATTGTGAAAAAAGGCGATTGGAAGGAAAATAAGCATGAGGAGCAATGGATAATGGTTCAAAGGTCAAGAACAAGAAATCGATTTGCCGGCAGGACAGGGAAAGCTGCTTCTAATTCAGTGGGAAAATTTAAGGCCGCCGACATAATGATACCTGTTTTTATCTCTAATGTCAATAAAAATACAACCGAGAGAGATATATGTGAATACATACAGCAAAGAACCAATGAAGTCGTAAAACTGGAAAAAGTCAATATGAAGTCTGAAAGGCAATATAACGCGTTTAAGTTGTTTATACCTAAACACAAATTGGGTACTTTTTTGGATGACAAGTTCTGGCCGACAGGAATAATGTTCAGAAAGTTCATTAATTTCAAGAAAGGCAAAGTGTCAGATACTGTTAATGAAAATACTATAGTGAATAATGGATAGTACTATAAAAAAGAATGTAACCCTATCGACATTCAATTGCAAGAATGTTATTCGATCAGCTGATTGTGTTCGCAGGCTTTGTCGTGTTGCTGATGTGATTGCACTGCAGGAGACTTGGCTTTTACCACATGATGTGCCCTTTCTCGGTAGTATTGATGATGGATTCGCGTTTGCGGGTAAGTCCGCCGTCGACACGTCGGCCGGAGTTCTCATCGGGAGACCGTATGGAGGAGTTGCGCTTCTGTGGAGAAAGTCAGCGTTTGCGACGGTATCTGTGGTGCAGTGTAATAGTGATCGTCTGTTGGCTATTAGGATTGAGCACGCGGGTCGTTCCCTATTAATTTTCTCAGTGTACATGCCAACCGACTCGTCTGATAATCTAGTTGAGTTTACAGAGTGTTTAAGTGAAATTATCGCTGTTACCGAGAGCATGAATATTGAGTCAGTGTTTATATTGGGGGATCTTAACGCACATCCAGGTGAGCGCTTTTCAACTGAATTATTGACAGTATGTGGGGAGCAATCGTGGTCATGTGTTGATATGGAACTACTTCCGAAGGACACGTTTACGTTTGAGAGTACTGCTAACGGTGCATTGCGCTGGCTTGATCACTGTGTCGTAAGCGGTGCGGCACGACAATTAGTTGTAAATGTGTCAGTTTTATATGGAGTTTATCTGTCAGATCATATACCTTTATTAGTTGAATGTAACATTCATTTAATTACACCTAAACTAGTGAATCCTATCTATACTTGCAATAGAGTGATATGGGGTGACAGAGATAGCGACCAGATCAATGAATACTCAAACTTTTGTAATTCCAAATTAAAATTAATAGATTTTCCAGATGAATTTCGGCATTGTGCGCATAAAATGTGTTCTAATGCTAATCATGTGAAAGTGTTAGATACAATGTATAATGGATTGATTAAAATTCTAAAGGACGGTGCCGAACGTACTTATGTAGATAAACAGATGCGTCATAATAGTAAAAGGTACATTCCTGGTTGGAACAAATATGTTCGTGACGCTCACAGGGAGGCTCGGATTTGTTACCGAACATGGTTGTTCTATGGTAAACCTGCTAGTGGTGGTGTTTACGATAAAATGTGCGAATCCAGAAAAATATTTAAGACTAATTTGAAATACTGTCAAGATAACCAACAACAAATAAAAATGGATATTCTAGCTAAACATCACACTAAAAAGAAATTTGGTTCATTTTGGAAATCAACAAATAGTTTGAATCCGAAGTCGAGTCCCCCGGTGAGCGTGGCGGGCGTACACGAGCCGGTTGATATAGCCAATGCATTTAGACGTCATTTCCAGATTGAGTCACCTCCTTTTACTGGATGTGTGCAGCCTTTGCAGGTGTTTGATGCTGTGCCCAATAGGGGAATTTCTGTTATTTTTACGGCACAAGAGATATCAGCCATCATAAATAAAATGGAGAGGGGTAAATCCCCGGGTCATGATGGACTCAGCATCGAGCACCTGAGGTATGCGGGGCGACACCTGCCGCGAGTACTTGCATTGTTTTTCAACCTGTGCGTTAGTCACGGTTACTTACCGGATGATGTGATGCACACAATGGTAGTACCTATTGTGAAAAATAAAACAGGGGATGTCTCTGACATTACCAATTATAGGCCCATTTCTCTGGCTACTGTCATAGCTAAGGTGTTGGATAGTCTGCTTGATAAACAATTGGCTAGTCACCTTGAATTACATGATGCCCAGTTCGGGTTTAAGCCTGGGCTATCAACTGAGAGTGCAATCTTTTGTCTCAAGCAGACTGTTCAATACTATACAGACAGGAAAACGCCTATTTTTGCTTGTTTTCTAGATCTCTCACGGGCATTTGATCTCGTTTGTTATGATGTTTTGTGGCGTAAACTAGAATCTGAAACTACATTGCCATCTGAATTAGTATCCATATTTAAATACTGGTACAGTAGTCAAAGCAATAGCGTGAAGTGGAATGGTTCGTATTCGGACGTGTATCGGTTGAAGTGTGGGGTGAGGCAAGGGGGGCTCAGTTCGCCCCGACTCTTCAACCTGTACATGAACCAGCTGATTGTTGGGCTTAGCAGCACCAATGTTGGATGTCATATTGACGGGGTGTGCATTAACAATATTAGCTACGCAGACGACATGGTGTTGATGAGCCCATCAATCGGTGCTCTGAGGCGACTGATTGCTGTTTGTGAAGACTATGCGGTGAATCATGGGCTCAAATATAATGTCACTAAGAGCGAACTAATGGTTTTTAAAGCTGGCAGTCTGACTTATCCATGTATCCCAGACGTAGCACTTTGTGGAGAACCACTGAGAAGGGTGGACAAATTTAAATATCTAGGCCACTGGGTCACTGAAGACCTTAAAGACAATTGTGACATTGAAAGGGAACGTAGGTCGCTGGCGGTCCGTTGCAACATGCTGGCCCGCAGGTTTGCGCGCTGTACGAAGCCGGTTAAAGTTACCCTTTTCAAAGCCTATTGTCAGTCTTTTTACACGTGCAGCCTGTGGGTCAGCTTCACTCGGCGGGCCTACAGCGACCTGCGCGTTCAGTATAATAATGCACTGAGGGTGCTGCTGCGGCTGCCATGGCGATGTAGTGCGTCAGGGATGTTTGCAGATAATAATATTGATAGTTTTTCCGCCATCATTAGAAAAAGATGTGCGTCCCTGATGGCTCGCGTTCGTGGCGGCACCAACAGCATTCTCAGTGTATTCGTAGATCGGTGGGATTCCCCGATGTGGGGAAGGTGGATACGGCTCCATGCCGAAATTTAAATCATGTAACCTACTAACACTAGAATTTAAGTTAAAATTGTTACTAACCCTAATTATGGACTCCGGTCTGAAATAAAAGTTTTCTATTCTATTCTATAAAGAATTGACTGAAACTTATAGCCTTTTTAACCCTTTAATCCAAACAGTCACCAGTGACTGCTCTCCACTAACACAAAAACACTACATTATAGACCTTATTTCCGATGTTTAGAGACTACTTGTGTAAGAACAAATTTAGGGTACGATATTTCAATAGGTTAATAGTAATCTAACATTTCCATTAATATCAACAATTCATTTCAAATATTTAATTTACTGTTTCACAGTGTATGCGAGACAGTGCTAATGGACTTCGACGCCTTAGTAGCAGCGAATTCGGCCTTCGGTACAGCGGCCATCATCGTGATGGACAAGTCCACAGACATCGTGAAGGCTATCGCTCGTCTCATTATGTTCTACAAACACGAGTCCTGTGGACAGTGTACGCCCTGCCGTGAGGGAGTCTCCTGGATGAACAAGATTATTTACAGGTATAAATTCCTGCTAAATTTGGAAGTTATTGCAAACCTTCTTATACATATAAAGGAAACCTATAGTCCAATAGTGTGGGAGAGCCATGCTACGGCACGAATGGGCCGGCTCGACCGGACCGATACCACGGCCGAGAAGAAAACAGACGTGAAACAACGCGTTGCGTTTCATCGTGTGGGTGAGGTTACCGAGGCCGAATTACCCCCCTCCCCCCTTCCCCAATCCCCGAATTCCAACAATCCTCAAATTCGTAATTCTCAAAAGGCCGGTAACGCACTTGTAACGTTTCTGGTGTTCCCGGTGTCCATGGGCGACGCCGATTGCTTGCCGTCAGGTGATCTGTCTGCTCGTTTACCGGCTTATTTCATAAAAAAAACAGTACCTATCAAGCTGATGATAACGTATGGACTCACGATTTCATGATGTCAATATATTGTCAAAATGTGCACATTGTTTTAATGTAACTACTGCTAACACTTTTCTAGTGTGAGCTCATAATAATACTTGCTACAATCCAATAATCGAACCTCAAAAGTCTCATTTCGTAATGAGGCAATATTAATGGATCATGTAGCAAGAATTTTCGACATTACTTAAAAGTTAATTTATTGTAATCAAATTTCATAATGTTTTGAAATAATAATAATAGAGCTTTTAATAGTTGTTATTTATTATGTAGGTAGGCAACATTTTTAAGTATTGCGCTAGAATTTTTACTTATTGCAATTTTTACGTGAACATGACAATTTTCTTACAGAATGGTCGACGGAAATGCTTCGCCTAAAGAAATCGACATGTTATGGGAAATCTCCAAACAAATTGAAGGTAACTAACAATTATTTAATTATAACATCGTTATAAGTAATTCGATGAAGTCAATAATATTTGATCCGACTCAAGAATCAAACTTGAGATACCTAGTTCGGTAATTGGGGTTTTCATCAGACCACTTAGTTTTTATGATTAATTAGCTGTTGCCCGCGACTTGTTCTGCGTAGAATCCTGTTCCTAGTCTGGGTGTCATGTGTATGTGAAATTGTATGTTTGTAAACGCACCCATGACACAGGAGAAAATCTTAGTGTGGGGCAACGTTTTCTTTAAAAAAATCCTGTTTTATCCCATGGGAGCATTTGATCGGGATAAAACGTATCACATCACCTAAGTCAGTCTATACCCTGCCTGTACACCAAATTTCATCAAAATCCGTTCAGTAGTTTCCGAGTGATTGGCGGACAAACATCCAAACAAAGAAACTTTCACATTTATAATATTATTAATGTGATGTGACGATTAAATATTATCTAAAGATAACAAAATAATTATGTACTCTGCTAACTGTTACGTTCATTAATTTGTTATTATGTGGCATCAAGATGAAAGACACATTACGTTTTATTATCAAGATTAGCATATCCTGTATGTGTAGAATTAGACGAAAAAATTCAAACTGTATAGTTAAATATTAATCAAACATAACATCACTCCTTTTATCCCCGAAGGGGTAGGTAGAGGTGCACACAGAACAGTAACACCCACTTTTATGTTATGAGTCCCATGTAATTTATGGTTGAGCCTCTGTAGCCATATACCGGGCACATTGCTAGACTCCGTGCTACTACTGAGATTATTTAAAAACACAGTAATAGTTTGCGCGGAAATCCTGGAATCGAACCCTAGACCCCTTGCCCGGCAGTCGCACTTGCGACCACTCGGCCAACGAAGCAGTCTGACTGATGATGACGATGATGATGATAAATCATGTCATTAAGAACCGACTTATGAATAAATCTATTTTCTTATCCCCAGGTCACACAATCTGCGCGTTAGGAGACGGTGCAGCGTGGCCCGTACAAGGCCTTATTCGACACTTTAGGCCTGAGCTGGAGCGCCGTATGGCGGCCTACGCCTGTGTCTGCGGGCCAAGCAAGGCCGAACGACTTTACTAGTTAGAACCAACTAACAACTTGACACTAAAACCATCTTGCAGTGTGTTGAGATATACAGAACACATTATGTATTAAATAGGGGACGAACCTGTACAAAGATTTATTTTATTATAATAAAGTTGTTTTTTATGTTACAATTATGTTTAAATCAAATTGTTCGACGTCCATGTCCAATTTTTATAAGTTTTTATTGTTAAATAGACATATTTGTGAGGTCCTTTTTGATTTTCCAAATCGAATTATTTACGAAAAGATACGTAATGAAGAATTTAGTATTCGTTTATGGTTCTATATTTCACAACATGTTGCAATGTCGAAATTAATTGTACATAGTGACGTCATAGGCTCGCAGATAACGTGTCACTATCATTATTTATTATTTTTATCTAATTTTCCTTCTAGTTTCCATACATTTTCCTCTTATTTCTCTTAAGAGTATTTGTGTCTATGTGATAACCGATAATTTTTTAAACATTTAGAAGTACAATCGACCAATTGTTTAGAACCATGGCACCTATAATTGTTTACATACAGACTCGCGGTTTTGTCCCTTTGAGGTGGACAGAAACCACGTAACTTAAATAGTACCTATTACGCTAGCCTGTGAAATCAATTTCACCACAAATAAATGATTAAATTAATTTAAAAATGATGTTAATAATGAAATAGTTACAAATATTTCACTACCTTGTCATTAAGCGGGAATTTCGTCGATTGTACAAAATATTTTCATTAGATCCTTATTTATATTTCTTGCTATGTAAACTAGGATTCGTATATACATGTATATGTGGCTATATTATATATTTCCAATCTGTGACTCTCGCCGTTACTGTCAGCACACGGGTGATCAAGTAATTTAGTTAATTTTGTATAATATTGTAATTAGAAAATAAATGTTCTGAGAATTATTTTACATTGTTTCTTTTACTTTAATCCTTACGTATTACATTTTATTAGATTTTAAATATCTCTAACATTTTGAACGCCAGAGCAAAAAAAAATGAAGCCACAAATTCAGCGCTACGAAAGAAATAGGGAATCATATTGTTCATTTCGTGTTTCTGGTTCCGCTTTTTCTGTCATGTATTTGTGTTGTTGGCGTCCAGGGACAGTTTTCGCTTGTCACTATATGTGACATTGGCACTCAAAAAGTTAATGTACTGAATTTTCTTTCTTACAGTTTTATCTACACTCATATTATAAAGAGGAAAGATTTGATTTTCTGTTTGTTTGTTTGTTATATGTATAGAATAAGGTTTATTAACATCTTAAAATATTTTATGGACATGCACAAACTATGTATGTTTACGTTAAGTAGGTTTTGAGTTATGGAGGGGTCAAAAGTAGCACCAAGTGGTTCGTTTACACTCAGCGCTGGTTAGCCAGTTCCTTTGCTTGAACTTGGCTTGACACACTGCCGTGTGTCTAGATATTGTAAAGTGCCTATGCCTATCTTCTTTTACATAAAGGTGCTCCCTCACCGGGAGCATTCGCGTGTAATGTAACATACTTTGAGTACCTTAATATAATTTTTACCAGATTTTATGCCAACATATATTGTAATCACTTTTGATAAGGTTCATTATTCAATATCCAACTACTTTTATGTTAATGCTCTAATTGTTGTTTATCGCTTCGACTTCGCTTGTTGTTTTCAACCATATCTTACAATTTAACTATCTCTAGTCTATTATGATACTGAGAACAATGTTTTTATCAGGGAATCTGTCTTATGTCATAATTTATCTATAAATTTACAGTACATACATCAATATACCTTCTACATATCATTATTTATCTGTAGTACTGAACACATCTCCATGTTCAAGATAAATATGTTTCAGTCTTTCACGATGACTGACTTCACTGACTTCTATTGTAATACAATAGAGCTGATAAGGTTTTAAAGTTTTATTTTAGCACTGATTTCAACATACATATATATATCTTCACGCCTGTCTCCCATGGTTGTAGGCAGACTATGGAACGCCAATTACTACGATTCTTACATACTTCTTTCACTTCACCAACAGTCAATCTTTTTATGCATGCTCGTCGTCGGTTAAGGGTACTTTTAATTTGGCCCTTCTTCAATATATCGCCAATTTGGTCAGTATATGTCTGTCTAAGGCGCCCTCTACCGATGGCCCTATTCATATCCGCTTCTTTTGTTACTCTATTTTCATCCATCCTTTCTACATGTCCAAACCAGTGTAACATTCCCTTTTCAATCCTTATCATTATCACTACATCATCTTTCAACCCACACCTTTAATTTAACAACACTATTTTTCACTCGATCTGTTCTACTGATTTCAACTTAACTGTAAATGGATCATCGTAAAATATATCTTATGTGTAACCGAAAAGGTATAAAACAATAACTTTATTAAAGCCAGGACAGACAACTTGTGTTTACCTAAATAGAAAGGGCGTCGAAAAGATTGCCCTTGGAGTATGTCGCTTACGACTGATAAAATAAATGTATTATTTTGTAAACAACTCATTAAAATCACTTATAGATACCCGAAATAGATATTTTTGAACAATTTTACTGAAAATTGATATCATTCATGATTATAACAGACAGTTGCTTGAAAGATTATGTTTTATTCTTTATGTAATCAATGGATAAGGTATCTATCAAAATTTTCAGAGAAAGGTGGCACTATATACCTAAGTGTCTGCTATCTACCTGCGTAATTTTGCACATGGCACTCGACGCTACCTAATAAGTACCTATTTATCTGGAAATGGTTTGATAGTCTGACCTTATCTCGCATTATCCGAAATAAGCAGTCATGCTGACATAGTCATGTCATCATTAAACAATAGGTGCAGGAAATTGTGAAATTCTAGGTTCTAGATTGTTTAGTTTACAAATTAGTATTCAATATAAAACAGCTAGTCTTTTGGAACGTTAAGGAAACATTGTAACAAGTTTTTTGTAGTTTGAGCAATAAAGAAAGCACAATGGACGCCTTTTGTTAATTCTAGATCTTATAAATTATGAAATAGCTAGGTTTTCACAATATTCTGAAATACTATCACAATCTAACGATCTTGTTCATTGCTCCTTGCTAACGATTAATTAAATTAGTTAATATTGAAAACCAATTTTAATCTTCTGCTCGTTTTGAGTAATGAAAGCATTTTACAAACGTGATTTGGTGTACCTCACAAAACAGACAAGCGTCAGAATAAAACTTTCATCATCATCAACAGCCTATAAATGCCCACTGCTGAGCAAAGCCTCTTCTCACACGGAGAAGGTTAGAGCGTTAATCACCACGCTTGCTCAATGCGGGTTGAAATTATAAGTCCAGGTTTCCTCACGATGTTTTTCCTTCACCGTTTGTCAGTGGTGTCTAAATAATCTTAGAAAGTACATATAACTCGGAAAAAGTCACATTGGTACTTGCCGTTGGTAGGTTTCGAACCCGCACTCTCATGCATAAGAAGTGGGCGTCTTAAACCTCCGGGCCACCACGACTCAATAAAACTTTATGATTTTCAAATCATAAGTTAGGCTTTATTACTCGAACAGTATGTAGAGGTATAGGTTAAATACATATACAGCACACGACACAGATACAATTCTTTAACTTTCTTTGTCACATAACATCACGCCTTTTTATCCCCGAAGGGGTAGGCACATTTCGGCACTTAATGCCAGTGTACAATGTAACACCAACTTTTCACTATTTATGTTATGAGTCCCATGTAATATGGGATGAGCCTATTGCCATATACCGGGAACATTTCCAGACTCCGTGCTACTACTGAGATTTTTAAAAACGCGGTAATACTTTGCCCGACCCGGGAATCGAACCCAAGACCTCTTGCCCGGCAGTCGCACTTGCGACCACTCGGCCAAAGAGGCAGTCTTTCTTTGTCCTCGAATAAAAATAATAAGGTTCTCTTGTTTATAAAGATCAGTGAGAAAAGATATTGAAATTGTTGTCATCATCGTTATTTCAGTTACAAGACAACTGCTGAACAAAGGTCTCTCCCGGTGACTTCCATATAAGTACTTATACCAGTTGTAAACAACCTGCATCCAGCGGCTCCCTCCTACCTTAATCAGGTCGTCTGCCCACCTTGTGGATGTTCTTTTTAAGGGGGGAAAATCATCGAATGACTTCTCCTGCCCGGGTGAGGCGAGAGGGAGTCTCAGACTCTTACTGACTAAAAACCACCCCGTTCCTACTCCTGCACTTCGAGCCGGAGTCCCGGTAACCTTTTACGTTCTCCACGGCTCCGTACCTCATGGGTGTAACGATTGTATTATATAGATATTTATAAGAAATACAGGAGCCGTTTTAAGTGATATTTTCTTGAATGACGATGTAATCCATTCATCAAAAACTTATCATATCACGATCAGTTTGGACGGACAAAATAAACAACATATGTATTTGTTATGTAAGATTGAGTTACACGTTCCTGTAAGACATTGGAATTATCTATTCAGATAGAACGTCACGTATTTCTTTGTTTCCAAGCCGCAAATAAAAACTTAAGTACAAATTCCTAAGTAAAAAAACTCAATTAATTATTATGTTTTCGGTTTTCTATTCACGTAACTGCTTGACGAAGAACTCGACTCGTTTCAAGCCATGCTAGAGGCTCATATACATGAGCAGCATTCCACGATACAAGACACGGCGACTGTCGCGCTGCTACGGCTATTAATTTCGAATGTCTCACGAAACTTACAACATAAACAAAGATTTTCGACTTTATCAAGTTGTCATAAAGTCTACAATCTTATGAAGGTTTATATCATTTGAATTTCTTTATGCTTATATCACTATTTATAAAGTTGCTGAGCGCAAATAAATGCCATAACAAGAACAAAGGGCAACTAATTTAGTACCTATAATAATAAGAGCAAATTTCTTTATAACTAATTCTGTACGATATTGATGATATCCGCTTATTTATCTATCATAATCACCGCTGATATACTAATTATTAGAGATAATTTCTCAAACAATAACTTATGGTATGTACCGAAATGTATTTTGCGCATACCAATCTACCTATCACTTGATAAACTTAATCAGAACCATCAAAATATTTATTTATCGTTCATCCGTGTCTAGAGTACTAAATAATATTATGTAAAATGCCAACGTGGCATCAAGATCTTTTAACATAGTACAATTAATCAGGTTTCGTCGCGACGGATTGGTGATACGTCTCGTGTTGTAGGTTGCACTTGCAGACAGCTGCCTACCTTAGGCCTGCCGCGTGGAACTTAACGGGTAAGGCTCTGGTCCGAAGTGCAGGAGTAGGAACGGGATGGTTTTTAGTCAGTAAGAGTCTCACACTCCCTTGCGCCTCGTCCAGGCGGGAGAAGTCATTCGATGATTTTCCACCCTTAAAAAAAGACGTTAGACCTAAGATTACCGCTAACCATGAAGCGGGTCGTCACTTTTAATACTGTTACAGATTGCTACCAATAGTAAAATACAAGAAAATGGATACCACATCAACGATATTTTTATAATAACTATCGTGAGACATACTCTCATCTCTCGTCTCATCGTTCTTTCTCATGAGCAGCGTGCGCGGTCGCGGCGCTCTGTGGTTCGAAACTAGTAGAGGTTTTCTCAGTATATTCACGTGTAGCGGAAATTCCGAATAGCGGAAAGTGGGTGGATGAAGGATGCACAACACAAAATCGAGAAGTAGGTAAGTAGAACCATTAAAGAACGAGGGATGTACCTTACTTACCAAAGAATGGGTAAGCCTTTACCTGCCTGGACTGAATAATGAAAAATAAATACCTTATTTATCTTTCATAATTTTCATTGATAAACAAAAGAGTTAAATCCATTTTGTTTTTTTACTTCTTATCCGGCTACAGACGATATATTTGAAAGGTATTTTAATTATTGAATTACC